CTCTGTGATAGAGCTACGCAATTATAGGGAGTTGCTTGACTTCCTTCTCCACCACATGGTTTTGGAGACTCTCTTGAGGACAATATCACATTTGTCTTTCAGTTACTCGAGAACATTGGAGAGTTAACACATCGGGTTAGAGCAACCCCATGAATTTTATGGTCCATTTGGACGAACCGTAACTCGACCTTGTTTGATGGAATACAAGAGGCAGCTGATGTGTTAATGCAAAGGGCGTTTGATGAAGCTAAATGTTGGTATGAGATTCATCACACAGAGGCTGTGAATACTCGAAAATGTCAGAGGGCAGGATTCCCTATCACACAGCTGGCAGAAACCGGCAGGCAACATGGTCAAATGCAACTTACATGGAAATTGGAGAAACAACATACTGCATTGTGGAGGTCTTGGATTTTACGAGACTCCTCAGGCTCTGTTATATTTCACTCCAGGGAAACCTTCATGAAAGCTAGGAACCGGATTACAGCCGAATTGAGAGTGATGATTTGGACATTGAAAAGCTTGAGGGACTTACATGTTCACCGCGTTATCATCGCTTCAGATTGTAAAGCAGTTATGGATGCACTATCAAAGCCTATGGAGTGGCCGAGATACCGTGTTTACGTTGATCAAATATTCCGGCTGAAATTGGGGTTTGAACATTGCTCCTTTGAGTTGGAGGCGATGGCGGCCAGGGCCGGTCCTGAGATTTAGGGGGCCCTAAGCCAAAAATTTTTTTTAGGGAGTTTATAGATAGATTTTTAATTTGGAGGCTTTTTCGCAAAAAAAAATAATTCTGGGGGCCTATTTTTAATATTAAAAAATTCAAAAATTTTGGGGGCCCAAGGCCCATACCTCCTTGGCCTGTGCTCAGGCCCGACCCTGATGGCAGCAAACAAAATTGCTAGAGCAATATCCACAAGTGTGACTCGTGATGGGCGATTTCACTCATATCTTGCTCGTGGCCAGCATGGTTACATAATTTACTTGCACAAGAAGCTTTGTAATAAGCATCATTAGTTCCCTTGTCATTGGGTACGATGCTTTTGGTTGTCACTTTAGTCTTCGAACTTGTTTCTTTTTTGCTCTGTTTCGGAGCTAATATTGCTTAATAAAGTGAATCAGACGGTTCAAAAACAAAGTTTAACTAAATGTAATATTTAGACTTACCATATGATCTATTTTTTTTTTAAATTGATATATTAAGAAGCTTTCATTATTATATTTGTAACAATATTATTTATTTGTAAACGACAACAACAGTTACAAATATTTTTACTTTTCATTATTGAAAAATATATATTTTTTGTTTGTTATGTACGACAAATTCATATAAATCTAAAATTTATTTGATTTATCGTATGCTATAATT